CCTCCAGCTCAGGGACCCCTAGAGCCCATCACTGGTGTTGAAAGCTGAAGTGAAGAAGGCATTAAACATCTTTGCCTTGTTTATGTACCTGCTTGTGGGGTACCGATCCTCATGCAGTAATGAGAAAACGTGTATTCTAGGGTGGCTTTTCCTGTTGACATATTTATAAAAGAGGGAGTGACTTTTTACACAGGCGGATAGGATAAGAGAAGGGGGGGATAGCTTTAAAGTGAAAGAGGGGACACATATTGGATATTAAGATGAAATTCTTCCCTGGGAGTGTGGAGAGGCAGTAGCACGGGCTGGCCGGAGCAGCTGTGGATGCCCCAGCCCTGGAGCTGTTCCAGGCCAGGTCGGACGGAGCAGCCCGGCGGGGTGGGTGCCGCCCCGTCCCCGGCGCGCGAGGACCGTTCGGACGCGGTGTTCCCCCCGAGCCCCAACATTCCATGAGCCGCGACCCCGCGCGGGCGGTGGGCGGTGCCTCGGCGTTGCCGTTGGCGGCGGCGGCGGCGAGTCCGGACGAGTCCAGCCCGGCTGCGCTCCCGTGTTCGGTACCGGGAGGGGCGGACACTCACCGGCACCCCCCCGCACCGGGACGGTCCGGGCGAGGCTCCGCCCCCGCCTTCCCCGCCACCAGGTGGTCCCGCCCCTGCGGCCGGGGCGGCGCTCGAGCCTCGCTCCCACCGGCGGCGGGCACCGCACCGCACCGGGACTGCTACCGGCACCGGGACTGCTACCGGCACCGGCACCGGCATGAGCGCCGGCGGGCAGCCGGCGGAGCCCTGTCCCCGCGGCGGGCCGTGCTCGGCGGGGAGCAGCCCCGTGCCCAGCCCCGCGTCCCCGGCGCCCGAGGAGGTGAGCGGGGCGCTGGGGAGCGGATCGTGGTGGAGGGCGGCTGCGTGCTGGGCATCGGGGTGCGGGGCCGCTGCGGGGTGTGGGGGTGCCCTCGGGAGCGGGGGGGGTCGTCTGTGTGTGCGCGGAGGGGGTGGACTCGCGTGGCTGTGTGTGTGCGGGGGGGTCCCCCCGTGTGTGTGCGGGGGGGGAGTCCCTTCTGTGTATGTGTGTGCTGGGGGGGTCCCCTCTGTGCGTGTGTGAAAGAGGGAGGGGGTCCCCTGTGTGTCTGTGTGTCCGGGCGGCTCCTCTGTCTGTGGCTCTGTGTGTGTACGGGGGGGTTCACTCTGTTCTCTGTGTGTGTGTGT